AGTTAATCGAACGTTCAGCTAAATGTTCCATTTGACATAATGTTTCATCTCTGGGTTATGCGTTAGGCTACTTTTATTTTAAAGTTTAGTTTCATTATTACAAAGGTCTTTGTTGATAGTGTTTACATTTGTTCTTGTTCTCCCAGTTTTGCCTCATGTCATGACTTGCACTGAGACAAGTCTTGACACAAAGCAAGAAGAAAAGGCAAAGAAACGGCTCATAAACCAGACAAGGAGCTGTCTTGAAACTTGGACTTGGGTCAAAATGTCACCTGGCCAGAATTTTAAGAAAGCTGTGTTATATCATTATCCCCTCATACCGAAATGTATTAAATAAAAATTTTAATGTACAAGTATATGACTTTGACTTTAATAATGATCATATTTAGTTGCTTCGTGATGTTAGCAAATTTGACCTCTGCATTCAAGCATGTAGCCTACTTTCACTGGGCCTCACAGCAATTGGACTAATTACTTGGAAAAACAACAGTTTTATTAATGAAAAACAACAGTTTACTCGAAAAAGAAAATGTCAGGATGTCAGTTTAAAATAACAAGTTAGCGAGACTGTAAAGCATGTTTTCAACAGATCAAATACTTTTACAGACATTTGTTTTTTGCATTAATCTCTTGTGAAGAAGTGTGCTTATGCATATTGAATGTGCACATATTAAAAGTAGGACCTATTAAAAAAGTGCTTGCAGATAATAATTAAATAAAATGCCACTTAAGTGTACATAAAGAGAGTACACTTTTATGAAGCAAGAACAAAAAGTACACTTTGTAATAATGTCAAATTAAAAGTTTTACTTTTAAAGAAGTACACTTTTTATGTGTTGACTAACATAATTTAAATTTTATCGGACCCACTTTATATTAAAGGGGACCGAACACACACAATTTCACCCAATCTCATATTAATCTTGAGTACCTATAGAGTAGTACTGCATCCTTCATATCTCCAAAAAAGTCTTTAGTTTTATCATATTTATAAAAGAAAGATTTTCTTCTTTTATTCTCTCCGAAAACAGCCGAGCTCCTGGAGGCGCGCCGTGGGTGGAGCTAAAGAGTGACGAGCACTTGAGCTCCGATTGCCAACAAAACACAGACATTTGATGCAGTTTCACTGTCTTCAGTTCTGAATCATGACCGGGATCTTTTATTGCTGGGACTGCTCCATCTTTCAGTATCAAACGATGTGCAAATCCAGCGTCGAACTGGGCTTTGTTTATAGAACGTTTGTCAACAAACACACTTGCGAAACTCCATTGCTGAACAAGGTTAACTTTCCCTTACAAGCAAAAACACACCTCTTTAGAGAAATTCTTCCCAAGCGAGTCCCGTGCAGCGCTGCTGAATGAAGCACATTGATGGGCGCGCTCTTGCTCTCACTCTGGTTGATGTGTGCACGGGCGCGCTCTTCCGGGAGAAATGTAAACAACTCTGAATGCATGAAACAGCATTGTGCCCCCCCTCCCCCCTTAAAGGGGAAGCAGCCTATAAATACCTGCTACTGTCATTTAATTCTAATCAAACAACAAAACACAGCTTTGACAAAGATTCATCTATATTTAATTTATACAGTGAACACTATGCAGTGTTATTTTACACTTAATTATTATATTTCTTTACCTCAACACTACTGAACTTATTTGTATTTATTTGTGCTTGTAATTTGTGTATTTGTTTTACTGGCTGTTCACTTGTCTTTACTCATGTTTGAACTTTATTGGTTAGGTTAGTAGCTAGTTTTTGCTGTGGTATAGAAAAAATACTTAGCTTTAAGTTATAAATGGAAAGCAAAGCTACATTAAGCTTATGCCCCCCCCCCCCCCCCCCCCCAGTGTCTTTAACTACTGTGTACTTACATTTAAATTAATCAATAGATACATTGTACTTATTGTGTACATACACATTTTACATTGTACTGATATTTAAAAAAATACCTGCATGTAGTTGCATATGTAACTAATTTCTGTAGTTACATCTATAATTACTCTGTTAACCCACCCTTATCACACCAAGGTCACCCATACCACACCTCAATAGCAATAAAATCGTTTTGCAATACAACATGAACAAGTATACTGTATTTTTTTTTTTTTTACCTAAGTACATAGTGGTGATCATGATTTCACCAAGTACAACATGTCAAGGACTAGGCTGGATTCAGGTGCGGGTTCAACAGAGGCTTTATTGTACAGAGATCGATCACCACGGGCAATGAGCGCCTCCGCGGACAGTTCGTGTGGATGTGGAATCCCCAATCACACAGATGAGTGGATAGCAGCGGCTGGAACAAGCTGCAACAGCGGCAGTGGAGACGAAGCCGTAAGGGCAGCTCGCTAATCCGCCGTTTTAACGTTGTGGATCAAGTGGCCCATGGTGGCGGTGGGGTTATGGTATGGGCAGGCGTATGTTATGGACAACGAACACAGGTGCATTTTATTGATGGCATTTTGAATGCACAGAGATACCGTGACGTGATCCTGAGGCCCATTGTTGTGCCATTCACATGACCTGACCAACATCACCTCATGTTGCAGCATGATAATGCACGGCCCCATGTTGCAAGGATTTGTACACAATTCCTGGAAGCTGAAAACATTCCAGTTCTTGCATGGCCAGCATACTCAACGGACATGTCACCCATTGAGCATGTTTGGGATGCTCTGGATGCCAATTGCACGCTCCCTCAAAACTTGCGACATCTGTGGCATTGTGCTGTGTGATAAAACTGCACATTTTAGAGTGGCCTTTTATTGTGGCCAGCCTAAGGCACACCTGTGCAATAATCATGCTGTCTAATCAGCATCTTGATATGCCACACCTGTGAGGTGGATGGATTATCTCGGCAAAGGAGAAGTGCTCACTAACACAGATTTAGACAGATTTGTGAACAATATTTGAGAGAAATAGGCCTTTTGTGTACATAGAAAAAGTCTTAGATCTTTGAGTTCAACTCCTGAAAAAATGGTGGCAAAAACAAAAGTGTTGCGTTTATAATTTTGTTCAGTGTATGTACGGTCGCCGTGATTTTGCCAAGTAAGACATGTTCCTGGATCAACATCTTTTGTTTATCCTGGATCAACATTACTGTCCAAAAATATAGACTAAACACAATCCCTACCCATAATTTATTCCTAAAATCAGTGTGAAATGATAGCTGATTAACAAGGGTGTAGAAGCACCTAACCCTGATCGTAAGCTTAAAACAGATATTTCCTGAAAATTATCCCTCAATTCTGATTGGTTAATTGGAATGTTGTTCCAGGATCAACAAGGATGTTAATCCAGGAACATGTTGTGCCCAGTCTCGGGTCTGATCACCTGTTCCTTGCTGTCTCTGTATTTGGGTGTTTGTTGTGTGTTGTTGTGCGTGGCTTGTTTTGACAGCTCGCCACGTGCGCATTTGTCAGTATGATTGTTTCCCCACCCTCGTTTCTCTGCTCGCCTCGTTTCATACCAGATTCTTGTTATCTCATTAGCTTCCCCTTATAGCTCCTCGTGTTTCTCTGTCTTTTGTCAGATTGTTGTGAGTATTCCCTTGCTCTGACTGTCATTGTTTGTATCGCTTTCCAGTCCTGTCTTGTCTCGTCCAGGCTCCAGTGCTCGTAGCTGCCTGTTTATTTTCCCGCACCTCTCTGTGCATTCCGAAACCTGTGGGCTCCCTCCGGCATCCGCCTACCCTAGGACTCTGCAGTCTCGTTGTTGGGCTGCTCAGCCTCTCGCTCGGCGAGCTGTCCTTCCGCCGGAACTGCTTCAGTGTATGACAGTCAGCGGAAGTGAGAGAAAAGTGTTTATTATGTTTGAAATATGGATCTTTTTTCTTTAAAAGACACATGGATTCGCTACAGGGGGGCTTTATTCACCCCCCGGAGCCGTCTGCGGCACATTTTATTATGAATGCGTGAGCTTTATTTGACGACTTGTGGACTGTTCAACTGCAAAACCCGCTGACTGCAATGATAGAGCTTGGAATAGCCAGGACAATTTTTAATATAACTCCGACTGGATTCGTCTGAAAGAAGAAAGTCATATACACCTAGGATGCCGCGAGGGTGAGTAAAACACAAGCTAATTTTCATTTTTGGGTGAACTAACCCTTTAATTCTACCCCATACCTAAACTTAATAACTGCCTTACTAACTTTTAATAAGCTGCTAATTAGGAGTTTATTGAGGGAAAAGTTAATAGTGAATATTGTGTTCCCTAATCTAAAGTGTTACCATTTAAACTAGAATACATTTTCATTAAATTGCAAATAACATGCAATTAAGTGTCCGAAAGCATTACATTTGATTTGCATTCAAATTTATTTGTATTATTTCCATAATAAGTGCTCTTTTTAAACGTATGCATATTATTAAAGTTAAATGTTAATGTTTCTACAGTACAGACGACCATTAGTTTAGTTTAGTTTAATGTACCATTAGTACATAGTTCACCCTTACAGACTGTAATGGGAAAGTAGATACTGAGCAAAAGCAAAACTGCCTTCAAAATCAAATGACCTAAGACAGGACACTGCTGCCACCTGTAGACGTGAGGGCGTTGTGTAAAGCAGTGTGACTATGAGCTGCTTTCACTTTCACTTTGACTTCTTAGCCGTTACCATGTAAACACACCTGTTCATAGTACACCTAACTATAGCTTGTGATAAAATATTATGGATATGGACAATTAGAAGAAACACTGGTAATGTATTTTTGTTGGATGACAGAATGTTTCTATTCTCAGGACAGTAGACAAATATTTTTCACAAACACTTTTTCTTTTTTTTCTTTTTTTTTTGAGAAAAGCTCATGTACAATAAAAAATTAACAGACTGTTACACACTTCCTCCAAGGAGAATAATACAGCACCGTTTTGGCATACGTCAAACGTAACAAGGCAATAAGAACTTTTTTGTTGAACATGGACTACTTGATGACAATTAGATGCATTGACTGTACACTGTGGCTGTTGTTTGTATTTTTGTACGTTTTAAAACTTTTTAACAAACACATAACAGTTTGCTCACATGCACCTTTTCCAGCACACCTGTTATTGACTAGAGGGTAATGTTTCATTGCACCCTCATGTTTGTTGTTCTTTTATCTCTGAATTGTATTTATTGATTTAATTGTGTTTTTGTTCTGTTGTAATAAATATCTCTTCCGCGATCAGTAAGTCAAGGTTTATACTTTTTTCTTTACATCAAAATTTTTTTTTGGCAATGATGGATGTGACATGGAATAATTCAAACCTTGTCTCTAAACCAGCAAGCCTGAGGCACCACAAATTGGGCACCACAGTTCATAAAGTGCTGACAAAAACATAACACAAAAAAGAGAGAGACAAACACTGAGTCAGGGAGACATTTCTTAGGCTAACGTGAATATAAAAAAAACCCTGACTGGGAGAACTTTGATGGCAAATTTTGGCCTATGATTTGCAGTATCTGAGAGTAGCAGGGCACACCCGGGATCTGTTTTTCCTTAAGGGTCTGATCTTAGTCAAGATAAGACTGAGAGACCAACACTTAACACATTCAAAGACATCCTTTGAACAAATCACAGCTCAGAGATTTGTGGCACGCTTCTCTGTCTAAATTGTCCTGATCTTAATCTGTTCTTTGTGGCTTATGTCATTTTATGAATACAGTTATGCAGAGGATGGGCACTGACCACAGAACAGCACATTTACTCTGAGATGCTCGTTTCACATAGGCCCGGACCTTATCTTTAAGTGAGGCAAATCCTTAGCCGAAGATGAGAGAGGATTTACCCCCCGGTGGGTTTCTACGACCAGAAGGAACCCCAGCTGCAGGCTGCTCACTTGCAGAGAGGCAAGGTGAAGCTGGTGTGTCATCCTGCTCCTGAATAGGTTCAGGTTCTTCTGTGCTATCTGTGAACATAAAAATGAAAATAAATAGTAATTATCAGATAATGTAATAACATTTCATTTAAAATATATGGAAAGAAAATGTTCTTTTTATTTGTTTTATACTACTGTATGCCATTGATCCATTTGTCAGAAGGTTGAAAGTATCAAACTGATATCCTTCGACTGGATGGAATCATAGTCTGATGCAAAAAAAATCAGAATCTGTGACCATCATACACTACGTGATTTTCTATAAGATCTGTGAACTTTAATCTGTAGACAGGCTCTGACTTTCGGCAACTAGCGTCGACTTACCCAAACTACACTGAACAAAATTATAAATGCAACACTTTTGTTTTTGCCCCCATTTTTTCATGAGCTGAACTTCTATGTACACAAAAGGCCTATTTCTCTCAAATATTGTTCACAAATCGGTCTAAATCTGTGTTAGTGAGCACTTCTCCTTTGCCGAGATAATCCATCCACCTCACAGGTGTGGCATATCAAGATGCTGATTAGACAGCATGATTATTGCACAGGTGTGCCTTAGGCTGGCCACAATAAAAGGCCACTCTAAAATGTGCAGTTTTATCACACAGCACAATGCCACAGATGTCGCAAGTTTTGAGGGAGCGTGCAATTGGCATGCTGACTGCAGGAATGTCCACCAGACCTGTTGCCCGTGAATTGAATGTTCATTTCTCTACCATAAGCCGTCTCCAAAGGCGTTTCAGAGAATTTGGCAGTACATCCAACCGGCCTCACAACCGCAGACCA